GCACCAGGCTGGGCCTTTGTGCACCTCTCTCAGGGGAGGGTGAGGGGTGCGCGTGTCTCAGGCTCTGTAGCACGGCTGGGTGTTCTGCCATCTGGCGAGGCTCCCAGCACCTCACAGGAGCCGGAACCCACACAATCTCTGGTGCTCTGGCAGCTCGGGGACCAAGACCTGGTTCCCCCAACCTCCGCCCCCCCCCCCCACTTTCTTTGGCTCAGCACCAGGGGAGGCTGTCCTGGGTCCGGGGACTTAAGCCCCTGTCCCTACCTGCCCCAATTCCCACAATTCCCCTCCACCCCGTGATCCTTTGCTCTTTTTGAGTGCTTTCAACCAGTCTCCAAGTTAATGCTGGTCCCCAGATGCAGGGCGCTGTCGTATTAGGGGTATTACTTTCCAATCGGTGGCCTCTGGTGGCTCCATCCCCCTTTTGTTTGTCTTCTGGTATCAGTCCAACGTTCCCACTCCGCTTTACCTGCCCACTGGCGTCTTCTGCCCCTGTAGAGATCCAGACATGTATAATTCTGATCTCAGGCTGATTTCATGTGTGATCGGAGTTCTTTGGTAGGTTATGATGAGCACTAGGTATTGTATGTAAATGATGAATCACTGTTTCTACTCCAGAAACCAATATTGCACTGTATGTTAACTACTTAAACTTTAAAATCAATCAATTAATCATGAATATGTAAACCATCTTAGAAAGAGAGATCATCAATCGAACGACTAATTTTAATCAATAAGCTTGTATAAAGTTGTATTAATGCTTATGGATTTACAATGGGGACTTGTCAGTTAAAATGAACCTTGGATATGAACATATAATACAGATTTTTTGTCAACATAGAGAAATTATCAACTATGTGTTCCTCTCCATGTTATTATGGCAGGTTTTTAAATTATGTTACGACAATTTAGCAAAAATAATTTAAATTGTTTATGGAGTCATTCAAATATTTTGGTTATTTGTAAATAAAATCAGCAGTTGTATATTATATATCTATTGTTTAAAATTGAAACACATACACTCACACTCACAATAAGATTTTATAATATACATAGTACTATTACCATATATATCTTATACATGATTTATGGAAAAAGTGAAATGGTTCTTAAACTCTTAAAAATATTTTTTCAGGGGGCACCTGGGTGGTTCAGCGGGTTAAAGCCTCAGTGGGTTAAAGCCTTGGCTCAGGTCATGATCCCAGGATTTTGGGATCCAGCCCCACATCAGGCTCTCTGCTTGGCAAAGAGCCTGCTTCCCCCTTCTCTCTGCCTGCCTCTCTGCCTAATTGTATCTCTGTCTGCCAAATAAATAAATAAAATCTTTAAAAAATATATATTTTCTTGGGTGCCTGGGTGGCTCAGTGGGTTAAATCTCTGCCTTCGGCTCAGGTCATGATTTCAGGATCAAGTCCCGCATCGGGCTCTCTGCTTGGCAGGGAGTCTGCTTCCTCCTCTCTCCTTCTGCCTACTAGTGATCTCTCTCTATTTATTTATAAATAAATAAAATCTTTAAAAATATTTTTTTCCACAATTACAGTGTATTTTTGTTTTTCCAACATTTTTATTGTTATTTTTTGAAATATAATTTTATATATAATTAAATTTATTTTTAGTCTATGAAATTTTATAAACTATTGTTTGTAGTTGCTCTGAGAGATCTACTCTTGGTGTATACTTTGGCATCATTGTGTCATGATTTTCCTCATAGTCTATATACTTCCTTAGGGTGATAACTATGTCATGTTCATATTTCCTGGCTCATTTTATGTACCCACATATATTTATCAAATTGATGAATTTGTACTTGCTGTGTATATGCTATGTTTTCTAGTTCTAAAAATTAAAGAAAAAAACTAGCTATAATTATTGTTCGATTTTTTAAAAAAGGATGGCAAACTTTTGAGGTCTCAATTATTTCCAGTAAATTTTAATGCAAGATTTAAAAAGATATATATTTAAGTCTAATTTCTTCCATTGTCACTTTTTATAATAAATTGTTGTCAAAGGTGACATGAATAGAATGAATAAATCTGAAAAAGTAGTTACTTTCCTACCTTCTTGGGTAATAGTTGAACCTATGATTATGTTTCATCAGGAATGCTGCTTTTTAAAGCTTGTCTGTGAAGGTAAGAATTTGTTTAGTTTGTTCATCCACCAAAGCAGAAAATTAGATTATTCTAGAAGACTGATCAACAGAGCAGAAAGTTAGCTACATCTACAGGTGAGTGGAGGTGGCATTGAGATGGAAAGTCATGCTGTGTCACCATGTTGGTGAAATTGTTTGAGAAGTGAAAGCATAAAAATCATCCAACAATATCTTCATGAAATAAATTATATTTCATTGAAATAACCTGAAACATTCCAGGAAAAATTAATTCTGCTTATAGAGGCAGGTAGAAAACGTAAGAAAGTGAAATATGTAGAAACTGAAATATACTAGGGGAGATAATGAATAACGCAAATGTGTGAGGAACAGCATTTACATTCATATCTATTGTTGTCTTACAAATTATCACAAATGGTGCCTTAAGACAACACAGTTAGGGGCGTCTGGGCGGCTCAGTGGGTTAAAGCCTCTGCCTTCAGCTCAGGTCATGATCCCAGGGTCCTGGGATCGAGCCCTGCATTGAGCTTTCTGCTCAACAGGGAGCCTGCTTTCCCCTCTCTCTCTGCCTGCCTCCCTGCCTACTTGTGGTCTCTGTCTGTCAAATAAATAATTAAAAAAAAAAAAAAAAAGACAACACATTATTTTTTCACAGAGTCTGTGGGTGAAGAGTCTGAACATTATTTGGCTCAGTCTTCTGTTTAGGGTTTCTAAGACTGCAACTCACATGTCAGCCTTTATTTGGGGACTTGACAAGGAAAGGACCTACTTCTAAGCTTACCTGGATTGTTGTAAGAATTAATCTTTGTGGCTGAGGGCACTGTCCTCTACAACTAGAAGCCACTCTCTGCAATTAGAGACAAATTGTGGGGGTTTTTTGCCATGGGGCATTCTCCTTAGGCACACTCACAACAAAGTGGATTGCTTCTACAGAGCTGATAAAGGAGAAAGTCTATACAGTGAATCTGCTACCACTATAGGATTTTATATAATATAGTATAATTATGGGTATGCCTTTCCATCATTCTTGCCATAGTCTCATGGTTAGAAGCAAACCACAGTTCCCATCCAGATTCAAGGGGAGGATGTTACAAAACAATGTGAATAACAGAAGATGACATCAAATTAAGGCTTTCCTACACAGCTTTTGAGGATCAAGAGCAATGAGAATTGCTGGCTTATATGGTTATTCTGTTTTTAATGCTTTGAGGAAACTTAAAAATGTTCTGTATAGTGTCTGAACCAATCTTCATTCCCACCAACAGTGCACAAGAGATTTTTTTTTTACCTCTATATCTTCACTCTTTATCTCTTATCTTCTTGGTGATAACCATTCTAACAGGTGTGAGATGATATCTCATTGTGATTTTGTTTTGATTTTCCTGAAAATTAGTGATGTTGAGCATGTTCTCATGCATCTGTTGATCATTTGTTGTCTTCTTCAAAAAAAAAAAAAAGGTCTATTTACTTCCTCAGCCAATTTAAAAAATCTGTTTGGGTTTTTGTTATTGAGCTGTCTGAGTTCTTTATATATTTTGGATATTTGTCTGTTACCCAATATATGGTTGGCAAATGTTTTCTCCTATTGTGCAGCTTACTTTTTCATTTTTTGACTTTTTGTTTTGTTTTGTTTTGCTCTGCAAAAGCATTTTAGAAAATACAATCTTGTCCTCATTTTCAAATGAGGACTTTCATCAAGGCTTTTTCACAGAAGAGCTTCTGTTAAGTGCTGAACATTTGAGGGTCCTTGCTCTACCTCTTGAAAATGCGTATCAATTTCACAGAGTTTGACTATTAAAAGCATGCAACCCTTAACCAAGGCAGTACAATTTTAGGGGCAAATAGGTAGCTCTGAATAGAGATTTCCTTTAAAATCAATAGAGAATACCTAATAAAGCAGGATGTACTAAAGCTGTGTATATAAACAGCTTTGGAAACTTCCAGAGAAATTAATTTCCTATTATCTATTTTTCACAATAAAGTCCTTCATTTTTAAAAAGCTTATTGACTAAATGCTAATGGTGAATGTCATTACTGAGGTGCTGCTCCACAGTTCAGCACACATTTGAATACCTTGGAGGATTGACTACATATAACATTTCTTCAGTTCTACCATGAGTAAGCTACTACACAGTCTGTAGGGACCACTTCTATTATAACTGGTTATATAGAAACTTTCTTTTAGATTATGTTGTTTAGTTTCAGGATCTTTATTTGCTTCTCCCCACCCTAACCCTTTTTATTTCTCTATAAAAAGTGTTTTAAAATTCCTGTCAGTGTTGCCTGGGAATCAGTCTCTATTGACTGAATTTCCTCCTGACATTGGGCTGCATTTCCATATTTCTTCATCTACACAATAATTTTTATTTTATCCTAGACATTGTAGATGTTATGTTATAGAGATTTTAAATTCTGAACATCTTTTTTTTTATTTTACTGTTATTTCAGAAAACTCCTACCTTTGTTGAACTCAAAATATAAACTCTCTATTAAATAGCATCTCAAATCTCAGTTATTTTACTTAGCTGAAATGCTTGGATTCTGTCCCATGTTTCTATATTTAAGGAGTCATCCAGTTATTTGGGTAGAGTTTATGCACAAAAAAATGGATAGCACAGGGCTCTTTCCTGTGTGCTTGTCTATTTCCATTGGCTGTGATTTTCCCAAACTGTCCATTTTTTCTTCAAGACACAAAACTATGGACTTCGTGCCAGAGTTCTAGCTATTCTATATAGTCAATGCCTTCCTTCAGGATTAAAGCATTAAAATTCAATCAAATCCAAGACCATTTCCTTTTAAATGCTTACAACTCTCAATTAACTATATGATTTTTCCATGCTTTCCTGGGTCTTTAAGTTGGTTTTGTGTGTATGTGTATATATTTTGAGCATAGTTTATAGCTATTGTTTATATAGGATGGTCAGTCCAGGATGTCAGGAGTCCACGCTTGTATCAGGAGTGGAAGTCCCATGAAAAGAACCAGTGATTAAAGGATGCAATTTAGAGTTCTAGGGTTTTTCATGCTTTGACTCTGCTGTTTTTGGATTTCTTCAGTGGCTTAAACACAGCTGAGTATACTGTCTTCTTTCTTTGTTGTTGTTTTTGTTGTTCGTAATGAAATTATAATCTCCAAGTAAATATATAATACTAATAGTCCATAACTGCCAAGTGGGAAGATCCCTTAATAATTTATGATATCACTTTGAACTTGTTTAGTCTTGATTTGCAGCCAATCTCATTCCTCTAAGCCTGTAATTCTGAGAAATTCTTCAGTAGATACCATATTTTATTTTTGATCCAGGGAAAACTAGAAATTATTAAACCTGAGAAAATAATTTCTTTAGAAATATAGATAGAGCAATATAGTGCAAAACAGAAATTTAACTATTTTCATATTTATCTATATGTTTTTAAATTGAGGTCATTAAGACTTCTTGAATAAATAATTATTTGAATTTTGAAATAATAGTTCTGAGTTTTTTCAGTGTGTATTAAACTCTGAGATAGCTAACAAGTGTTGCATTTATAACAATGACAAGACTATTATGTCTTTTCACATACAATTTTAGAATATTAATAATTTGGAAATACCAAGCAATAACTTTGATATATTTAGAATGATTTAAATTCTCTCCCCCAAAATAATTTAAAAATAGAAATAAATTACTTCTAATTCATATGATATTAATTACTTGTTATTTCAATGATGCTTATAAAATTCTATTATAAGGTAATGGACTAATGAATTATTGATAAACAATTTTCTCCTTACCAGCAAAACTATATTGGTGATCTTTTTTATAGGAACTCCTTTATGAAAAGTCTTATGGAAAGCCTTCACAGATCAAATTGACACATTGGAAGGGGCTAGCTAAACATTCAAACATGCCATTGTGCACATAGAGAAAACAATTGGAGGATTAAGGTTAAGTCTGCAGTTGGAGTTTCAGGTCTGCTGTGTTCTTTCCTTTTCTATGGAAGGACACTCACTTCCTGCCAAAAGTAGCTTCTGTACTCTGGTGCTCAGACCACCACAGACTATATAGCCTGAAGACAATTTAGTGATATTGCATTCACAAGAATTCTTAATCTGAGTGCTTGTTTTGGAACCCAATGATCTCCACCACTCACATGCTTCTATAAGGGATTATACTATATAACAAGGTTTATGCTTAACTGCATTCAGAATAATTGAAAATACTTCACAAATTTATTATGATGATGATGTCACAATATCACATTAGCAATTATCCAGTGATCTATACTTAAGTATCAATAGAAGGCAATGATGAATATACAGCATTGCAGCTCTATTAGTGTCTTCTACTTGTGTCTTTCTGTTAGTGTCTTCATTGTGATTTCAATCTTTAAGTGATTTCAAAGTGAAATAAGTTCATACATTCTTTTTCTCATATTTTATTCAGGTTTTAACCAGAGAGTTTGTAACACTATATTAAATTGTCAGAAAATGGCCATTAAATGTGAAACAAAATACAATTTAAGATGGAAATTCTCTGAGATCTGTACATGTTAGTACCCAAAGGACAGATACTATGGTTAAAAATCATGGTGAGGAACAATAATTTTTATGAAATTAATATGAATTTACTTTTAAACAAAAGAAAGTCTCAAGCTTTTATATCTGCCTCAACTTTGGCATGGAGTTTAATAAAGATAAATGATAATATTAATACAAAGGGACATTTCTTACCGGTTCACACTTCAGCACCCTGAACCTTTTCTCACTTAATTTGCTTTATTAATTTTAAAGAAGATGACATTTAGGTGTCTTATTGTTACTCTGATAGATAATATTCAAGAAGTATTGAAGCATCTAGGATTTAAGTGGGGAAAAAATCTATTGAAAAAGAGGGACAGGTAATAAGAGATAAATTGTTAATAAAAGTCCAGGGCCAGATGGCTTCACAGGTGAATTAAGCCAAACATTTAAAGAAGAGTTAATACCTATATTTGTTAAACTATTCAAAAAAAGGAAAAGGAAAGAAATTTTCCAAATTCATTCTATGAGGCCAGCATGAGTCTGATAGCAAAAAGAGATAAAGACACCACTAAAATAGAAAAGTAAAGAGGAATATCCCTGCTGAACATAAATGCAAAAAATCTTAATAAAACAATAACAAACTTAATTTAACAATATATTAAAAAAGTCTTTCACCAGGATCAAGTGAGATTTATTTCTGGGTTGCAAGGTGGTTCAATATTCACAAATCAATGTGATACACCACATCGAAAAGAGAAAGAATAAGATCCATATGATTTTATCAATAGATGCAAAAAAAAAAAAAGAGAAAGTACAACATCCACTCATGATAAAAACCCTCAACAAAGTAAGTTTACAGGAAACATATCTTAATATAATAAAGGGCATATATGAAAAATTCACAGCTAATATCCTGAGGCCAGGAATAAGACAAGCTTGTCCATACTCACTATTCAACATAGTACTGGATGTTCTAGCCACAGAAATTAGACAACAAAAAGAAATTAAAAGAATGCAAATTTGTAAAGAAAAATTAAACTTTTGCTATTTGCAGCAGATGACATGATACTCTATATAGAAACACAAAAGACTTCACCAAAAAACTGCTAGAACTGATAAAAAAAAATCAGTAAAGTTGCAAAATACAAAATCAATGTATAGAAATTGGTTGCATTTCTATATACCAATAATGAAACAGCAGAAAGAGAAATCAAGGAATTAAATCCATTTACCAGAACACCCAAAATAATAAGATATCTAGGACTAAACCTATACAAAGAGGTGAAAGACCTGTATTCTGAAAACTATAAGACACTATTGGAAGAAATTGAAGATGTTGCAAAGAAATGGGGAAACATTCCATGCCCCCAGACTGGGAGAATGTATATTGTTAAAATGTCTATAAAACCCAAAGCAATCTGCACATTTAACTCAATCCCTATTGAAATACCAAGAGCATTTTTCAGAGAACTAGAACAAACTATCCTAAAATTTGTATGGAACTACAGAAGACCCTGAATAGCAAAAGCAATCTTAAAAAATAAAAGCAAAGCTGAGGCATCACAATCTGGACTTGAAGTTACATTACAAAGCTGTAGTAAAATAGTATGGTACTGGAACAAAAATAGACACATAGAGCATTAGAACAGAGTAGAAAAATGTAGAAATAAACCCACAATTATATGGTCAATTGATCTTTAAAAAAGGAAAGAATATCCAGTGGGAAAAAGACCATCTCTTCAACTGGAGGAAGAAACAAAAACAAAAATAAACTATTGGGACCACATCAAAGTAAAAACTTCTGCACAGAGAAGGAAATAGTCAAAAAAATCAAAAAGGCAACCTATGGAATAGGAGAAGATATTTGCAAATGACATACCCTCAAAAAGGGTTAGCATCCAAAGTATATGAAAACTTATACAACTCAACACTCCAAAACCAAATAATCTTATTAAAAATGGGCAGAAAACATGTGGACATTTTCACCACAGAAGACATACAAATAGATGGCCAACAGACACATGAAAAGATGCTCATCATCACTTATCATCAAGGAAATTCAAATAAAAACTGCAATGAATATCACCTCACACTTGTCAGAATGGCTAAAATCAACAACACAAGAAACAACTGGTATTGGCAAGGATGTGGGGTAAAAGGAAGTGCACTGTTGGTGGGAATGAAAACTGGTGCAGCCACTGTGGAAAACAGTATGGAGGTTTCTGCAAAAGTTAAAAAACAGAGCTACCTTGTGATCCAGTAATCAAACTACTATATACTAGCTCAAAGAATATAAGAACATTAATTCAAAGGGTTACATGTACCCCAATGTTTATAGTAGCATTATTTACTATATGGAAGCAATCCAAGTGTCCATCAATTGATACATGGATAAAGAGGTGTGATTATATATATATATATATATATATATATATATATATATAATATATATATATATATATTATATGTATATAATAACATTCAGCCATAAATCTCAGTCATCTTGCAATGACACGGATGGAGCTAGAGTATAATGCTAAGTGAAATCAGTCAGAGAAAGACAACATATGATTTCACTCATATGTGGAATTTAAAAAACAAACAAGCAAAGGAAAGAAAATAAGAGAGAGAGACAAATCAAGATAATTTTAATTTATATATAATTTTAATTATACAGAACAAACTGATGGTTACAAGGGAGATGCATGGGGGGATGGGAGAAATAGATGATGGGGATTAAGGAGAGCACATGTTGCGATGAGCACCAAGTATGCTGTATGGAAGTGTTGAATCACTGTATTTTTCACTGAAACTAATATGACACTGTGTGTTAATAAACTGGAATCAAAATAAAATAAAAACTTAAAATGAAAAAAGATCTAAATTTTTGGTGTGTTGGGGTGACTCAGTTGGTTTAGCATCTGCCTTGACTCAGGTCATGATCCCAGGGTCCTGGAATTGAGCCCTGCACAGGGCTCCCTGCTCAGCTACCTCTCCCTCTGCCCCTCCCCTGCTCCCCTGCCTGTGCTCTCTCATGCTCTCGCTCTCTCAAAAAGTAAGTAAAAAATCTTTAATAAAGAAAAAACTAAATCGTTAAATTACTGGTGTTTTGCCTTATAATTTGAATTATGAAAAAATAAAATATTTTTGTTTATTTTGTGGATACATTTGGAAGTACATATATATTTTTATAAATGTATTTTATACTTATATATATTAATATACATTAATGCATATTTATATATAAATATGCATTTATAGATATATATTTATATACATTTATACATATTCATACACATAAATATGAATATATTTATATATGTATTTATATACATATATAACAATATATATGATATATAACAATAACAATAACAGTATTTTTATATTTATATATAAATATATG